TTCACCGAGGTACCCACTGTGATGCATTGATGGCTCTCACCTCCTGCCGATGCATAGACTAGTGGCGTCTCCATGATGTCACGGTAGACCAGAGCTGGAGGCAGATGGTTTCACTCCATGCAACAGCAGCCTCAAATTTTCTTTTGACACAAGTGTTATAATTACTCCTTCATTTGTCACAGTTCCCAAGAGCATGATAATTTGGGTAGAACTCAAACATCTCTTTCAAAAATGCTTCTAGTCTTGACATAAAGGACTTGCAGTGTAGGAGAAAGTCTTCCTCCTAAACGAAGCCTTTTACACCTAAAGGTTAGGTAGCTACTTCAAAGGAGTCTTCAAGGTCTCTCTCAAGTCCACCAAGACTGAGAGGCATCTCCAGTGGGCTACTCATCTTGCTCCAAGAGACACATCTAAGGCAAGGGGCTCTGAGCGCCCCTGCTCATTGCAGGGGAGTTGGACTGGATGACCTTTAAAGGTCCTTTCCAACCCAAACCATTCTATGATTCTATGACTCACTTTACAGAGGGGCCCTTTTTCCTTAGTGACTTTGGAGGAGGGTCCAGTTTCTGTTTTTGAGAAGTATACTGGATTTTCAAATGGGTGCAAGCTGAAGCTTATGGACCTCAACTCAGGGTATATAAAGCTTCATTTAGATTTACGTGACTTGATCTTCCCACAATTGGGTTTTTCTTGCTGGGGAGCTGAAGGACCCAGCAGTGTCTGTGAATGTACCTATATGACACTCAGGACATCAAGACTCGGTACCAAACATGTCTGTGCCTTCTTTCTGCTAAATATCACAGACTGAGCACCCTGTAATCCTTATGCCACTCCTGAATAAATCTGATGGCTTCTTCTACTCAGGGTTTTCATGTGCTCTACCAAGGGTAAACTCTGGATCTGCTCCCACATTCCCTTCTCCACTGCAGTGATGTCAGTGGCCCAGGGCAGCCCTCCATGTCATCCCTCTGCTCACACATCCCAGTACCACATCTCTCCTAACAGCATCACGCTGGAAACTACTTCAGCTGCTTGTGCACTCTAGCCACTAAATCCCTCTCTGGACACTGCTCCACAGGGTCCTTCTCTAGCTCTGGGTGGCATCTGTTTCTTGCCCAGTTGCATCACGTCTCCTTTGCCCTCATGAAAAAGGCTTTTTTTTTGACTAGGTAGCAAAGGCTACCAAGCAGTCCAGTTTGCTTTCCACAGCAGCCCTATTTTCCAGGTTATTTATAATTCTTCTAGTTTGTATGTCATGGACAAATGTTACCAATCCCTGAAGATCTTGCTGTCTACACCATCCATGTGATTTGTTCATAAAAAGCTTTTTCTTCCCTCTGACTCCCATCCAAAATATAAAAATACCTGAAATAACACAATTGCTGGCAGCAGGAAAACCAACAGGATAGAGTTGGGGGGAAGGGATGGTTTAAGCCCTACTCGAAAGTGATTGACAGTCGCTGTTTTGGAGTGCAAAAGAAGTAATTTATTTTGTTTTTAAAAGCTTAAATACATAAAGCTGAAACTACCACATGCTTTGCAGATGATGACTACTTTATTCTATATCTTTTGCTATACAGAGTTCCCACAGCAAGTCTGCGTATTAATGTAAACACAGCAAGGAGGTGCTTTACATGTTGTCTGGGAAAAGCCTTCTCAGAAACTGAAGCAGATTGTAGCGGCAGACAGTTTCATGCTTTGTGTTGTTCTGCCACACCAAGGAAGAGCAAGAATCAGCCAAGACAAATAATTTTTCATTTTCTCTGGAAATACTCATTCCATTGTGCCAAAATATAAGTAAAAGTTTCCCCATCCTTCATGAGTTTGAATGATCCATGCACCTTCTCTACGCTGACTTGACCATCATCCCATATAACAGTTAAAGATATCATTCCCTCTAGACAAAAAGCAATACTTTGAACTTCCTACTTGCTTAGACCTAGAATTCAGGTATCCCAGACAGAGGCCTCGAGGATGGTGCTACCACAGCCATCAACAATGTATTTTGGAATGCCATGAAGCAATATGCACAAACAAAATTCCTGCAGCAAAAGCACTTAGGAGTCAAGGTATTTATTTCTTAAAAAAAAAAAAAAAAAGGTTATGTTCCTTCCCTAACTCTCCCCTGCATGCCCGCAGCTCACAACCCTTACAAAACACAAACACATTCCAGTGGTACATTGAATGCCAGGACCAAGAACAAGGCAAACGTTTTAGTATCTATGCCACAACTTCCACCACCATGTTACATCTATTGCAACACAACACACGTGTCAAAAGCACATGGGAAAGCTGATGAGAACATCTACCCCTTTTGAGTGTGCTTATTCCTACAGGAATAAGGTGCGAAGTACAGCAAGAGACTCCCAGGAGGCATTAGGAAAATCAGGAAAGACTGTGGAAAGAGAAGTTGTAAGTGCAACTGGAAAACTTCCTTTTTCCTATCAAGGCTATTGCTATGTCCAGATACATTACTATGCTTTTTTCAGTAACAAGAGCCCAAAGACCTGCCAACAGCCAAGCAAGACACATCTGTGGCCACAGCCCTATTCTATATACATTAGGCAAGGCAGAGATTTGGCATGAGGACCGTCCCTCCTATGTGGCCTTATTCTTCATGATGCTCACCACCCTCAGCTCAGTGCATGCCCTTGCAAGCTCTGCGTGCGCTTATCCTCTTGAAAGAGCAGCAGTGTTTTCCGAAGTGAGTCTAGATGGGGGACATGCTAATGGGACAGTCTGTGTAGAACTAAGAACCTCCTTGGCAATATGAATCATGGGGCAAGGTGGAGATACTGGGTCAAGCCACACGTTTTGAAGGGGCTCCCATACCAAAGCAGGGAATTGCTTAAGGCACAGGGGAGCAGTAAGAGAGGCCAAATTGGGGAGGAGAGATGGACTATGATTTGAGGTCCTCAGGAAATCATGCTACAGGAGGATGAAGGCCTCTCTGGCCATAAAGGCTATCACAGCATGGATTGATGTGCTCATGCTTTCTTTTGCGACAATTTAACTAACTGAAGGAAAGGTACTAGTTTCTCCTGAAATCTCCATTCCCATTAAAGACCCAACTGTGGATGCAATTTGATTGCAAATAAAATTGCCTTTTAGCAGTATGAATTTCCTTTTCTCTTCTCATGGGAATAACTTATGCCAACGTTGAATTTCCTTTATCTTGCTTAAAGGACACTTTGTGCTGCTCATCTTCTGATTAAAATGGCTAATCCACATGCACAGCCTAAAGGAGAATTTGGGGTTGAGCCAAATCAGTGCACCTCGATGAACAAAATGGCTGTGACAGCCCTGAGACTTTCCAGTCTTGACTATGAGGAGCATAAGGTATGTTTCATGCCATGAAACACCTTGGTCATCACTTGGGCAATGGGAGAGCACGCATTTCCTAATGAGGAGACCGGCACACCCCTGTTACATCCAA